GAGTAGCAAACAACAGAAAATGAATGGATAATGATAGCTGCATCCCAATGAACAAAATGTGATTACCTAAATCGAGGCTTCATCACTTTCATTAATCTAAAATGAATTAGAAATTATTTTTCTATTTTCAAATTTTTTCCATGTGCATGTAATAAAAATTGGTTATGTCTTAAGCCCTAAGGATCTGAAACCTGGTGGTCAAAATGGAATTACGGACCAGTTGCAATGTTATTCTCCTATACCCAGTGAAAAAATCAACTGGTCTGTATCAAAAATAACCTGATAATGACCAGCGGACCCTTAGGGGCTACATTGTAATGTGCTGGGAGGTTTAGGCTACAGGGTTTATACCGAGGGAAATATGTGGGGGACCGTATTGGCATCATTGGTTTCAATGCATTGTACTTCTGCCTTAGTTTCAAAGGCAATAAATTCTTTTTGAAGGGTGTCCTGAGATTCCAAAATTAAGAAATAATTGTACTTATTTGAGAAATTAATTTTAAAGTTTTATAAATTGAATTTTCTTTATTTTATTAAATAATATTCTTTGGTTTTTGAAGATTTTTTACAAAGCAAAACATTATTTTTCATTCTAGATACAATAACATGCATATTGGCATACTTTGTTTTAATATAAGATTGTTATAACTCCAAGTTTTGCAAGTCACATGACCAATTCTTAGAGAGTTGATTGGTTGAAACAGTTGATATCAGATATGACAATTTGAAATTAGAAATAAGCTGTTATTCCGGTGGGAAATTGTATCAACTCCATTTCCATAGTTTTAAAAAAGGATCTTGTAAATTGTTTCAAGGTATGATATTTCATATAAGATATCTCTAGGGTGAGACCAGGTGACATACAAAAAATCAAGTTTCACATAGCAATACTAAGTAAGATACAGACCTCTAAACTTTCAAACCTTGATTTCTCAGTTCCGTAAAAATGTGAGATAGTACAAAGTTATTCTCATGCGACGATATGTAGATATATATCCTGTTTGTTACAGTAGATATAATACCATGTCCAGAATGTTATTTGAATCCACAACCTCACTGAAAATATGATCTCATTATGTAGAACCCTTGGAACCCTTACAAAAAATAAACATCAACAAAGTTTGTGTTCAGATCATCAGTACATCAGTACTGAAAGAAGTCAATTAAGCTTCATTGAATAAATTGACTCCAATGGAATCAGTGATCTTGAATTCTTTAACCCTACCGTCTTTGTTCTTAGCAAAGATCTTGCCATTAGAAGACCAAGTTTGTTGAACTTCCTCATTTTGTTTCAAGTCGTACATAAGTTTTCTGTTGAGCGGGCTAAGATCCTCGTAAACCACAACTCCTGACTGCTTCAAACGTTTCTTGTTGCGAATAACTTCTTCCTTCTTTGGTCGGAATTTCATTTTAGCGATAATGGGGCGTGGCTTGTTTCCTGTAGAGCGTCCCACTCTGTGACTAACCTCAATGTCATCAGGCACTAGGGAAATTTGCATTTTTGCTGACAATGTGGTAGATATAAGTTGAGAACAATTCTCATTTTGGGTCTCGGGAATACCCAGTACACGAATAGTATTCTTGCGACTGTATTGTGCATTATGGTTACAGCTATCTAATAGGGACATAACTGTTCCCCTTGTGGCAATGCTACCCTGCTCAAGTGATAATACTCTCTGTTTTAGTTCCAAGTTCTCTTTCTCTAGGTGCGATACCCTACCCATAATATTCTCGATTGCATCACCCACAGCCGTGGTGACAATTGACCTGAGATCCTTCTTAGTGGGGGGAATTTACCCCTATCTTAGGCAGAATATTTCAGATGGTGATACAAGTATAAACTTTGGCTTTTCTGCTTGTTAAAACCTTTTTCTAAAAATCTGTCCCTGTGATCGACGGAATATTTCACTTCTTCCCCCCAAAATCCAAGATGGCCGACAAAGTATGACTTAAATAACATGTAGGGTGGGCAAATTTTTTTATCTTTGGAAAATGCATGCTCTAATGGTGAAATGTTGTTCTTTAAGGTGAAAATAGTCATGTGAATTTTTTTCAAATTTTTAAACTGAATTTTAGCCCTCTCCAATGGCCCCAAAGTGTGACGATTTGACGTAAAATCGGAAATAATGTTCATTTTCTAGGTTCAAATAAAGAATGCAATGACAAATAACATTAATTATTATTTAAAAAACATCTAATAACTTTGCCTGATACTACAATATGAAGATTTCAATTATTGGAAAATTGAAAGTATTTTTTAAAAAGCGTTGAAAGTGCCCTACCCCATAAAATTGGAAAAGGGAAGTTGTGGTCAATTTTATCATTTTGTAGGATTAAGTTAGAAACGTGTATCAACAGAAAACAAATAAGTATATTCAGACCATCTTCAAAGGTAACTGGATATTATAATATGATTATTATAACCATATAGGACACAACATATTTTATATATGTGTATGATTATATGTTTATGTAGTACATGTATCACTATGTAATGTAATGTAATCATAAAATAGAGAGGTTGCTATGATTTCATCAGAGTATGATTAGACATGTTTATCTCTATGTTTAGAGCTGTAGTATACAACATACACACATAACACATAATACTGTTATGAGCTCAAGTCAAAATAAATAATTAGGAGTCAAGCAAGGTTCATTCCTGACACCCTCATTATTTTGTATACTCACAAATTGGTACAATGGATACTCTATTTAATTTAATGAATTTAACATCATTGGTACTACTGTTCTATAATTAGGAATATACATTCACTAATTAACAACAAAATCAGTTTTTAAAAGTCATTATTACATAGGAGCTGTTAAGGTTCACTTTTGACACCCTTCTTATTCTTTACACTTACAAATGCACTAATTTACAACAAAATCAATTTGTGTAAATTGCCAAAACAACTGAAGTTGCCAAAACCACATTGAGTACTGAGTGAGTTTTTGCAGATTTATCAATGTATTTACCATGTTTTACAACTACAACACCATTACTTTGACAGCAAGAAAATAATTGCAGAATTTTGACGTGAGTTTAAACAATGGAGTATCATTGCTTGTGGCACTATTGTCCTTCAGGTTTTGTTGTGATTAGCAGCTTTAGTCTTTTTGTCAGTTTAATTTCCATTTTTTCTGCTTCTACCCCTAAAGCTGCATACAAACTCAGAGAGGTTGGAAAACAGGTTGATCAAACCTCACTCAGTTATTCAGCCAGCTCTGCACAATGCAGCCATAGTCATCATTTTTCTGTTTGGCCTATTTCTAAGAGAGCCTTGTTCCACTCCATTGCTGTAACTCCAGCAGAATTTAACAGCCAGGAAAGGAACTCTCATATTGTTCTGATGTGATGATAATCAAGTCAATTGGGCAATAAAGGAGTCTCATTGTAATAGTCATAACAATTAGTCACCTTCCAATCTGTTGCCTGAATCACATATGTTGCTTTAGGACTCTTTAGGCAGTTTGGAGTACTTGTGACAATTGGGTCAATATGTTGGATGTTCTTTTAGGCCATCCTGCCTTGCCTAGTTGGTTGGGTAAGTTTTGTGTCATTTAGTGTTCTATAAGGAAATGACAGGGAGCTTCCAGGAGACTGCAACATTTGATATGATTCCCAGGTTACTAGGTTTTTTAGTTCAGTGAAGATACACAGAATGGCTATTTCAGTGTCATTTGCTAGAGTGACCCCATCAATCCATGAAAATGTGATACTAGTATGTTGGATGTGGGTTACCATTTCTCATTTTAAATTCATTGCACTCCTTGTGGCTCCTTTCAGAAGGATGTTCATAGCTGTCATGAATAGTAATATGCAGCCTGCCGTGATTCCCAACTCTAAAGGCTGCCAACCAGTGGTGATTGTTTCAGTCAAGAATCTCAACTGAATACCTTCAAGGTGCTCTATCTCAAGGCCAATCACATGTTGAGGAACATTATAATGCTTCAAAGCTGTTGAGTTCATTAGTGTGGTACACTTCTGCCTTCGTTATATCAAGCCATACAATTGGCAAGTTGGTTTTGTGTTGCTTTGTTTCTGCTATTAGCTGTGTTATAGCTGCAACATCACTTGGCCTTTACTGTTGACCTCACTGTACACAACTCGGCACGGGGCTCTAAACCCAGCAAGTCTCTAGACATGTTTTTACTTGCTTTTGTAAAAAATCTGTACTTAAATGTACAGTTTTGTGCAATTCCACATGTAATTCTGTATAATTGATAAGTTCTTGTCTACCTGCCCTTATTTCATCATACTATCAAGAGATTGTGATAATAATGGACTAAGGTATAACCTTGGAAGACTACTTCAATGTTTGCATTGATACTTGGTTGACAATATTCTCATTCAAACTTGAAATATATTCTTGAATTATGTCTTAGATATTAAATGTATTAGAGAATGTTATGATGAGAGGGCCAAAATAGAACCTTGAAGAACTCCTATAAAACTCTTTTTGCCAGAAAATAAGATCATACCATTTCTAATGTCTTAGTACCGAGTGAACCTATTTTTTAACCATATTATCTCTATGTATGAATCTAAATTGTCATTTTTACCGAATTATGTACATATTTTGACAACCTTAAATTTTTAACTGAATTGGTATTGGTGAAATATCAACATTATTCAAGAAAACAAGTTTAATGACTAAAGTTGTTGCAAAATAAGAGTGCTCCCAAAATAGAACCTTGTAGAATCCCTATATAAAGTCATTTTGCCCAAATTCAGCTCATTAATGAATGTAACTGTATTTCTAGATATAATGTACAGGCTTTAGGACTGAATCAATATAATTTTAAACCATATTTATCTTTATATATGAATCTAGAGTGTCATTTGTATTGAATTACACATATACGGCAGCCATCTTGAATTTTTTCCTGAAATAGTGTTCAGTTTGATCGATCACAGGGACAGAATTTTTTCAAATAGTTTAAATAACAGATTAAGCCAATAAATTTGCTTGTATCACCATTTGAAATATTTTCCACTAAATTCCCCCCACTATCTGTATATTTGAGACTTCTAGGGACATTTTAGACATGAAATCCTGCATGCTGTTTTGTAAGGCTTGAACAGAACTTGTTGGTGTACCATCTTGGGATACAAAACTATCAAAACTCGATTCAAATCTGTCCCTTTTAGCTGGGGGCATCATAGATGCTTTAGAGGATGACACTGGGGTACTACTCACAGTTACGATACTTGCAGCTTCTGTACATATATCAGAAGGTTGCGACTTCAACTGCACATGTGCCTCAGTCAAAAAATCCTTTATGTTTTGCTGACTCATAGTGGCTCCAATGTTCAATATAGTGTTCCAAAATGTTCAATAATATGTGCCTGTATAGTTTATAGTAATGATATATCCATATATATGTGTGTATCCACTGTAAGTCCTGAGTAAATTAATAAAATAGTGGACCAAAATATTATTTTACTTTAGCTGGCGGCCATCTTGCACGGTCGGTTTGGATACAGGAAATATCCTTTGGGATATCCAATACATCTTCCCTTGGTCCCTTCGGTCCCTCGGGAAGATATATTGTATATCCCTCGGGATATTCCCTGTATCCAAAACCTCCCAGTGCATAACCCCTATTTATCCCATACTTGGACGTGTTACAGGTACATAAAGCTGGTTTGTAAAAACTTATATTTTCATCAGCGAGGAGATGCTTTACGTCCCGCTCTGAGCGATCTGCCCGCTACGCCATAATCGCCGCTCGCATATTTGTTCATAATTTGTAACGGTCGCGTAATGACTGTTTACGACAATGGAAAAAACACAGACAATCGGGATCTGTTTGATGGTTTAAAAAGGGAAGGAGCATCCACTTAATATCCACTAAAAAAATCTGCCCACGGCCATGAAAACAAAACTGGACATGAATATTCTAAAATGTTTCCACGATTGAACAATGTGAACCAGATGACCAAGATTGGTATGGGATAAACATATTATCCTATAGTATATCTTGAACCTCATATAGGATAATCTCTATATCTGCCCGCTGATGAAAATCTAAGCTTTTACAAACCGGCTTTATGTACCTATAACACATCCAAATATGGGATAAACTGTTTTATCCCATGGTTACAAGGACATGAATCTAATATCACATGAAGATATATTTGATATGTGGATCAAGATATCATATTTTATCCAAAAATTCACAAACCATAGAATAACACTTTTAAATTATCGAATATCACGTCTTAAAAATTGATATTCGATGGTTTGAAAACTGATATTCGATGGTATCGAATTTTTCCAAAAAAAAATCTTTTTACATTTTTTAATCATTTTCAAAAAAATTTTTTTTTAAATTCAAAAATTTCAAATTTTCGCTCAAATCATATTTTTCAACTTTTTTCGCAGATGATGACTTATCCATGGGAAAAACGGACAATCCTATGATTATTCAAGAATATCAATTATATCCACTCATGGATACAAATATCTTCACTCATTCGCTGCGCTCACTCATGAAGATATCAATATCCACACATGGATATAAATGGTATTTTTTCAAAACCATAGGATAAATAGAGGATATCATATGATTTATGAGTGATATGATTTTTATCCACGAATGAATATGATATCTGCACGAGCGAGCGTAGCGAGAGAGTGCAGATATCAATATCCATGAGTGGATTAAAATCATATCACGAGTAAGTCATAGGATGTTCTTTTTATTCCATAGTTAAAGTCATCATCAGAATCGTCGGAAATTAAGTAATTTAAATCGAATTTTCCAAACGATCCGGCGATGTTGACACTTAGCCTCGTTTTGAGTCTGAAGTAGCAAAAATCCATAAACCATCGCATACGGCGCCGTATGTCATGACTAAAAAACCGTATGCTATGGTTAAGTGAAAATTTGTCAAAAATATCAAATTTTATCACTGATTACAAAAATACCGTTTTTATTTTCACATGTTATCCTATGAATATCATGCTAACTATGGAATAATCCTATGTAATAGTATACAAATAGTGACTGCCATTGAGGGCAATAGTGTAAATTATTTCCCCGAGCGAATATCCTCTACAATGTACTATTCCCGAAGCCGCAGGCTGAGGGAATAGTACATTGTAGAGGATATTCCCAAGGGGAAATCATTTACACTATTGGTCGAAATTAGGCAGTCACTATTTGTTTTATTATATACCCTATACTGACTCTTGTCCCGTTTGTCCTCTGCGAAGGCCAAAAAGGCTTAGAAAGCCCCCTCCCCGGGTCCATTGTTAGCATTATAAGGTGTGACGTCATCAGATGCTCAACAGAAATTTTTGCCTCTGAGACTCTCACTTGACAAATTCAATCGCGTTTAACACGCGGAATAGATTATCATAACACTTGAAATTACACAGACGTATTGAGCTTAGGGAACTTTATACACGTTGCTTATATTGTATCGTTCACGCACGTCTGTCATGGTGAACGGAGTTGATTTGTGTTTGTGCTCATCCTCCATTTTCTGTTTTTCGTCTGCGCAGTGATGATGCGCAGACGTTTCCAAGGGTAAAATAACTTGCAATTATGACGTCAGCGGGCAATAGTTCAAATGTATATTCCCGCTGACGTCACATTTGAGGGAATATAACTTTCCGAGGGAAATAGTAAATCTATTTCGGAACACGTGACTAGGTATTGACCAATCAGGATTAGTGTTACATATTGGGTATATAATAATATTTCATACCTACTGAGGTTCTAGGTACATAAAGAGCGGGAATATATAGTGTATCTAGGGACCGGGATGGATACACGCTGTATTCATCCCGGTCCTGCTCCTGAAAAAAAAATTAAAAAAATTTCTAATTTTTTGGAAATTTTTTTTCTAATTTTTTTCAATTTTTTTTTTAGAATTTTTACCAAATTTTTTTCAACATTTTTTTCATTTTTTTTCAAATTTTTCAACATTTTTTTCAATTTTTTCAAATGTTTTGAAAATCTCGCAAACTTTAAGACCAAGAAAACGCCTAGTACCTTAAGAATGATTTGGAATTTTGGATCTTTATAAGATATGATGTACCTAGAACCTCAGTGAGGTCCCTCGGGAGATACACATATTTCCCATGGGATAAACCCTGTATCCAAAACCTCCCAGTACATTACCCTTATATATAGAGTCCCTCCTTTTAGCAGAGCTTGGATCCTTTACTGTAAGAAACCCTTCTCACAGCTGGGGACCCAAAAGCCGCTTAAACGAGGGACTCTTATCTGTACAATAAAGCAATGCACCGACAGAAAGGCATTTTTATTTTGCTTTTAACGGAACAAGCTTGAAGAAAAACGATGCAGTATGAGACTCACAATCCTTGATTTCCAAACACCTAGTAGGTCTAAAATTCAAATAAACGGTCGTAGTTGGCACCCAGCGTTTAACTGTGGCGCTTAATTTGGTACACACCCTGTGTTCAATGGGGATATAAGAATTGAGCTTTAGTTTACAAAATTTATTTCACGAAATAAACAAACAATGCTTTCAGTCTAAAATTCTTTATTCAAGTAAAATTGCATTGTCAGCCAACAAAATAAATGACTGTATAATTTGATTTGTTTTTTGCCATTGTCCATCTTAATTTTATTTACAATCTTTAGCAGACTAAACGTTATTTGATCTTGGTATGTATTTCATTATTGGATTGCCGTTCCCGAGAGAGCAACTTCCACAGTCAAACTCATACACTCGATTCGTACACATGTTTTTCACATATATCTACAATGAAAAGCAAATTGCCCGATTGTCCTTAGAGGTCAAATGAGATATATTCGATATATGAGTTATATACATATTACGTACATTAGAGTTTATGTTACATTCACACATAGCTAGCTAGGCAAGGCTTAAATCCTTAAATATATCCAATGATTGGTATCAGACTCAAACATTAGTCTAAAACTGACAATTACATAACTATGCAGAAAACGGTATAATTATGAAATTTGAAAGCTGAAGAACTGTTTCAATTTTAGAATATTTTCGACTTTTACCATTCCTTGTCAAGTCTATTTTCTAAAAATCCCAAAGTGCACACAGTATTTCAGAAAAATAAATTCATTATTCCTCATTTTGCACTTCGAATCCTAAATAACGTCACCAATTATAACATGTCACGGATCTTCTATATGGAGACATTTGATGGAATTACACCACAAAATCCGTTAAAACGTTTTAGTGGAAGGCGCTTTACAAAATCGCCATTCTGATTGCACCAACATTTCTAAAGCGTCTTAGGAATTATATTTTGGAATTACACCTGTTTTTTCTAAAACGCCTTTCGTGCACTTTTAACGATGTAGTTATGGATAATATCCAGCATACATGTATGTGTACATCTCCTGTAAATGTATTCTTTTTGCATCTAAGACAAAACTGATCTTCCATAATTTGATTAAAAATGCATGACTTTGCATACTTTTTATTTATCTTTTATTAATTATGAGAAAACATAATAAAAGGGTAAAAGAAAAATATGTACATATTCTCTGAAGATAACACTTGATTTCGATGTGACCTGGCGACCATCATCCATTTTTCAATTTAGATATGAGGTCTTATTTCGTTTAGGGCAAATGTTAAAAACTAGTAAAAAACCGGTTAAGGCGTCTTACAAAAACCGATCGGTATTACACTGCACACTTAAAGCGCCCAACGACTTATGCCGTTTACTAGTGACAATAGTCCCTGATCTGGACCCTCTGAAAAAAAGTTTTGTTGTCCGGTACTTTCCCACATAAAATGATTGTACCGTTTGAAAGAACAGACTTCCCTCTTAAAGAAAACACCTCTTCTATTGATGTAAACAGGGGCAAAAGGCTCCAAAACGGGGTTAGACAAGGTGGCATTCTGAAGTCTCACTTTCTTGTCATCACGATTCCAGGTAAACCATCAGACGGATTTACTTCAAATTTTCACACATGTTACATGGTAAGAAGTTCTAGAGCTGATTAACTTTGCGGTGGCCATCTTGCATTCTGGTGGCCATCTTGGATTTTTTTCAGATAAATATTGTCATCGCGATTCCACAAAAACCACATAACAGATGTACTTCAAATGTTCACACATGTTACATGGTAAAAAGTCCTAGACCTCATTATTTTTTGGTGGCCATCTTGCATTCTGGCAGCCATCTTGGAAGTTTTAAGATAAATCTTGTCATCACGATTTCATGAAATCCAAACGGATTTACTTCAAATTTCCACACATGTTACATGGTAAGAAAATATAGAGGTGAATAACTTTTCGGCAGCCATCTTGCATTCTGGCGGCCATCTTGGAAATTTTGGGATAAATCTTGTCATCGTTATTCCAGGAAAACAACCTAACAGATTAACTTCAAATTTTCACACATGTTACATGGTATGAAGTTCTAGAGCTGATTAACTTTTCAGTGGCCATTTTGCATTCTGGCAGCCATTTTGGAAGGTTTATAGATAAATCTTGTAATCACAATTCCAGAAAAACCACTTCACAGTTTTACTTCGAATTTTCACACATGTTACATGGTATGAAGTTCTAGAGCTGACTAACTTTTTGGTGGCCATGTTGCATTCCGTCGGCTATCTTGGAAGTTTTTAGATAAATCTTGTC